CCAAGATTATCTTCTGTGTCTGTGTTAATTGGTTTCCCTTTTCTTTGTTGAAGAGGGTCTGTGCAATCCTTCTGCCTAGTCTGCCATCTTGCCCCGCCTCCCCCCAACCCTTCACTCTTGAAAAAAAGTTCTCACGGGCAACTCCATGAACATGGGGTCTTGAGGGATGAGGCCTATGGCCTGCAAAAGAGCTCCATAGGGGCTTAGGACTCTTAGAGCTGCTTCAGATAGATAGCTCATTATGATGAAAGCCAAAAGCCATGACCTGACATCTCCACTCAGAAAAACCACATCTGCAGGGAGCCTAAGTGTGTTGTTTTGATGACTGACCAAACTTCATGCAGCTCTAGGACCAGAGTATCCACAGAGCAGGGCTGGAAAACTGGTTTAATCTCATGAGTTAGTCTGAAGCTCTGGAGCCTTTTTGAGAAGAATTCTGGAGCCTTCTCCAGGCATGGCAGGGCAGAGTGCTGTGATCAACTCGCAATGTCTGTCATGAGTATCAGATTGAGGAGGGACATCACATTTGCTACACGTTTCTTCCCTGACCTAGAGGAACATTTTTCAAACAGCTCTCTATAAATGTCACCTATCTGATGGCTTTTGATGAAAGTTTCAGAGTAGACTCTTCTAAGTTGTCTTTTCTGGCAAGGATTAGAAGGCAGATGGTACTCTTGGAAGCTGCTCAAGCTGAAGGGAAGGCTGATAGTCTTGAATGGAATCAAGGGGCTCTCTGCCTCCCAACTGGCTGGAGGCCATTTCCCCTCCATTCAGGAGTGACCAATAGACAACACCAGGATTTTTTTTTTTTTTTTAAGAGACAATGCAAAATTCTTTATCATTAAGGATGGCCTGGCTAGTTGGGCCTGGGAACTTCAGGTTTTCCTTGTCACATTGTTGTTGTTATGTGCCATCAAGTCGGACTGTCACCTTAGGGCCACAGAAAACTTCATGAATAGCATCCCCCCCCCCCGAACCCCACCCCAAGAATAGCTAGTTTGGGGCAGCTCAACTTGCCAGTGACTCTGCCGGGATGGTGTCATATATTGCCTATAACTGTATACCTTTACCTTCTATATAAAGCTTTCAAATAATAACTACGTTTTAAGAGAACAGCCAAAAATAATGGTTGTTGATTTAGAATCTTTGTTAGGCCATTCTCTGGGATAACAGATAGCAGGGCTCTTGCCTCTTACCTTAAAGTGAGGCTGTGTGATCTGCCTGTTGAAGCTTCTCCAGTCTTTGTGATGGGAGAGCGTAGTGTTGTCATGTGCCATAGTGTCCATGTCAACTCATAGAGACCCCCTGTGGCAGAGCAGAGCTGCCCCATAGGGTTTTCTTGACTGTAATCTTTAAGGAAACAGATTGCCAGGTCTTTCTCCCATAGCACTGCTGGGTGGGTTCAGACTGCCAACCTTTTGGTTAACAGCCAAGTGCTTAATCATTCCACCACCAGTAGAACATGAACATTTTCCTTTTTTTTTTTTTTTTTTAATTTTTGAAAGCAGCTTAAATAGT